ATGAGACCCAGCTTTTGTGGTTTATGTTTGTACCGAAAATCAAGATCAAGTGAGGTTTTGCCCTTCTGTTCTATGGGAGAAGTTTTTAATGTCTAATATCTTTTTACTTTTGTTGGCCATGCTTTTGGCGTCATAACCAAAAAAATTATTGCCAAATTCAGTATAAGCTTTTTTTTCTGTTCTAAAAGTTTTATGGCTTTAGGTCTTACATTTAGGTCTTTGATCCATTTTGAGTTAACTTTATGTATGGTGTAGGGGAAGGGTCCAACTTCATTCTTTTGTATGCAAATATCCAGTTTTAACCCAATAGCATTTGTTGAAAAGACTCATTTCCCCATCAGTGGTCTTGGCACCCTTCGGGAAAATTTCTGGGCTCTATGCTCTATTCCATTGGTCTGTATGTCTTTCTTTATTCCAGTAACACACTGTTTGATTGCTGCAGCAATCAATAAGTTTTGAAATCAGGAAGGATGACACCTCCAACTTTATTCTTTTTCAAGATTGTGTTGACTGTTTGGGGTCCCTTGAGATTCCATATGAATTTTAACATGGATTTTTCTATTTATTAAAAAGCCATTGGGATTTCGATAGAGATTGCATAATATCCATAGATAACTTTGGGTTATATTGACATCTTAGCAGTATTAACCCCTTCGATCCACGATATCTTTCCATTTTTTGTGTCTTTAACTTGTTTTAGCAATGTTTCGTAGTTCTCAGTGTACAAGTATTTCACCTCTCTAAATGTTTTAAAGGTACTATTTAATCTTTATAACAACCTTAAGAGGTTTTTACTGTTATTATCTCCATTCATAAATGAGAATGTTGAAGCACAGCCGTTAAATAACTTGCTCATGGTCAGATGGCTGGCAGGTGGAAGGACCAGGGTTCAAACACAGGTCAGTGCTCTTAAATACTTTACTGTAGTATTTAGACAATTTTTGGAAACCTGCAGAGGGAGGTGACAAGAAGAAGGAAAGTTGTTTTAATTCCAGGATCTCAGAAAGGCTCAATAATTGGAAGTACCTGATGCCTCACAAGGTGGAGGTGAGGAATGAGGCTAAAATCAGGAGGATTGGTTGAAAGTTTATATGAGGAGAAAGAAAACCACCAGATTGTCTTCTGCACCTTAATCAACCTGGCAACCACCTCTCACATCCCAGCAGGCAAAGGGAAGGAGTTTATTCTTTGGAGAAATGAGTCAGACAGGCTCCGCACTGAAAACACCAGGGACAGTAGATGAAAGGCATCTTATTCAAAGTCTACATGTTGGACAGTGAGGCATGAACCTTCTTACTCCCACTGGATTACTACAAAGCAGACTGTCGGGCAATATGGAATATAGAAAAAGAAAGAGGTGAAATTAGAGGATCAATCAGAGCAGAATTAGCTTCAGTACTACTGGATTCTGGAATTCAGATATACCAAGACACAGTCTCCGCAAATCTTGGTTTAGATTTCCTCTATTGGCTTAATTCTTAGGCAGGGCTTTTCTATGTGGTGGTAAAGATGACAGTACAGTTTGTTCTTAGATGCTTATGTCATTCTTAGTTTATGATTCCAAAGAAAAGTGAGACCTAATTTCCCATCTTCCATTTTCAAACCTCATAGACATTGTGCTCATTTGTTGTGCCTGGGCCATATGCCCATCTGTGAATTAATTGCTTTGGCCAGAAGGACAGGATGGAACAATAGGCTGGGTCTGGTTTTGTGTCCATCTATCCCTAGCTTGGAGGACCAGTGTTAACTGGACTGCACTGAACTGCATGGAATGGGTTCCCACAGAAAAGGGGAATTCTATTACCAGAAAAAAGCCTACTAGACAGGTGAAAGCAATAGATGTTCACCACAGGTGCATCGTAGCTGTGAGCGTGTTTAATTTAGGGAGCTCGATTCCACTGAAATTGCGTTATTCCTATCAGGTTCTCCAAATGTCAACTGTCAAGGAGCAGCATCTTAGAACATTTTAATTACCCCAAAAAGAAGCATGTAGTTACTCCCATAGCCTTTTGTAAACTTTGAGGCATCTTCAGTCTTTTTAAAAAAAGTATTTACATTTATTAATTTCATATGTGACATAATACATTAGTCAATACCAACATGAGCGAATAATACTTAAGTGAAATAGATTTATTCGATTAATTTAAAAGGAATTTTCAGCTTTAATCTTGTAAATCTTCATTATTTTTTGGCACATGTGTTCTAGGTCCACCTGTACCTTCCTGCCCCAGGCAAGGAATAGACCAACTCTGCAAGGAGCCGGTGCTTTTTGTCTTAACCCTGGGAAGTGGATTAAGCAGGCCTTAGCCCCATCTCACACAAGTTGCCAATTAGTGGAGAAGCAAATAGAATGCTCAGAACGTGGTCATTCCATGTTTTTTTACCCCACTAAAGCCCATGTTACCAAAATAAAACTCAGTACTTTAAAGCCATGTTCTTTCAAAATTCTTTACTGAGTGCCTATTCTGGTAGATGTTGCAATATACAAGAGTAAAGAAAGACAATTGGCTCTCCTACATTTACATTACTGCAATCAAGTAAAAAGAAAAAAAAGGTAAGGAAGGTTGGAATACTTGGGCAAGTATGGATGAAGATCCAGTTCTCTTCACCTAGCATGGGAGTTCCCTCACTACCAAGATGATAACCTTCCTTGGCCTGAGGCAGGTGTAGAGTTTGAATTTACAGGCCAGCAGGGGCTCTCCCAGCCCTGTGATAAATAAGGCTGCTGTGGAAGCATACAAACAAGTGGTAGTACAAGACCACCCCTATCTGCTGGTTGGTAGTTGGTTGAGAAAAGTGTCATAAGAGAAATAGAAGAGAGAGAAAGGAAGTGGTGGCAGTTGACACAATGGTTAAAGAAGGCTAGAGGAAGTGCCATTTATGCCCAAAACTGAAAATGAGGAATTAACCTTGAGCAGGGATGTGGGAAGAGGTTTCCAGATACAGAGAACAGCCAAAAGTCCGGAGCAAAGAAAAAGCCTAGTTGGAAGAGAGTGTGGTGAGTATCCTGAGATGAATTTGGAGTAGGAGGACAAATCTTGAAGGTCTTCTAGATTGTGGTAAAAATTGGTTATTCTAAGTGTAATGGAAAGCCATTGAAGGGTTTAAAGCAGGGCTATTGCATAATCTAAGCTACATTAAAAACAAACACCACAAGCTATTATTTGGAAAATGGATTCAAATGCAAATACTCCACAAAAGATAGGCCACCTGTAATCCTAGGGATATGAAAGGCCAAAGCAAGAGGATCGCTCAAGGCCAAGAGCTCCTGACTGCCTGGGCAACATAGTGAGATTCTGTCCCTACAAAAAACAAAACAAAAAAATTAGCTGGGTGCATTTGGGAGGCTGAGGCAGGAGGATCACTTGAGCCCAGGAGTTGGAGGTTGCAGTGAGCTATGATTGTGCCACTGCATTCCAGCCTGGGCGACAGATGGAGACCCTGTCTCCAGAAAAAAAAAAAAAAAAAAAAAGATGGAGGAGGTTCTGTCCCTTTATCCCATTCTGTGAGTTACAAATTCTTGGCGTAAATTAAAAGCACCCTTAGAAAAATTAGACATAACCTTTCCATTTCATTACTACCCTCTGTTATCTAAAGAGAAATTCAAACTTTATTTCAGCACTCGGTCCTAAAGATACAGATTAATAATTTTTAAAATTCCTGCAAACAAATGCGTGGGCAAGGGTGTGATACATGCATCATCAAAAAAGTATGTCCCTCAGGCCAGGCGCGATGGCCCAAGCCTGTAATGCCAGTAGTTTGGGAAGCCGAGGCGGGAGGATCTCTTGAGCCCAGGTAGTTTGAGAACTGCAGGCGCTCGCAGGAGCGTTCTTTCCCACGGGGACCTCAACCCTGGTCCCTTGGCGGCCGGGTGGAAGTGGGTCCCCAAAGAAGCCTCTGCCCCCAAATCAGTCCCAGGCCTATGCCGGGTGAGGAAAATGAAACAATACTCCAATATCCTTGTCTTGCGCACTCCTAGGGCCGGTCTAGAATTCGTCACATCAAGACTTTCGCGACGCAGACTTCAGGCAACCAGTTAGCCTGCACAAGTCATGACAACGACCAGCGCTCGCCAACGCGCCTGCGCCTGGGCAGGCGGAGGCGGAGCGTGCGTGCTGACGAGAGAGCCGTGCGTGAGAGCTTGCGTGCGTGCGTGCGGGGCAGTCCGGGCAGCGTAGCCGTTGGCGGGCTTTGCTCCCCAACTGTTGGTGTATTTTGTCACTTCTGCGCCTTCCTTAAAAGCGGTACCCTGCACTTTCGGGCCATCTGCACTGAGTTGCGCCAAGCTAAGCATTTGTGAGCATCTGGTGCTGGGGTGACAGCGGTGGATGGGGACAGGAAGAAATCAAAAACCCTTTTGGTGCCCCCGTCCCTACCACTGATAGACTGACCCTTGCTTTACCTCCCACACCCTTTCACCAGGAAATTCTTTGGCTTCCCCTCCACCCCGGCTCCATCATTCTGCAAACCCAAGAGGTAGTTCCTTAGATGTTCAGTGTGGTTAACACATCGTAGCTGTGAGCGTGTTTAATTTAGGGAG